GAACAAACAAAACAGAAACAGACTCATAGATGCAGAGAATAAACTGATGATTACCAGATGGGAAGAGGGTCGGGGGGCTGGGTGAAATAGGATTAAGAAGTACAAATTGGCAGTTACAAAATAGTCATGGGGATGTAAAGTACAGTTTAGGGAATATAATCAATAATATTGTAATATTATTATATGATGCCAGGTTTGTACTAGATTTATCTGGGGGATTACTTTGTAAATTATATAAATGTGTAACCACTATGCTGTACACCTGAAATAATATTGAATGCCAACTGTAATTGAAAATTTAAGAAAAATAAAAGAAAGAAAAATTGCCCCAACTCTGATCCGGGCAGAATTTTTCCTTTTTAAATGATTTAATTCACAACTTCCTTCTGAAAATAAATTATGATTTCTGGTTAAAATGCTTAGAAAAATTTCTGGTAAACTTGAAAGGATTAAGATTCACCCAATTGACATCAGTCAAGAGTCTTAGTGACCTTTTAATCACACATTCTTTTAAAAAAAATCTAGTCTAATCACTATTATTTAATTTTTTACCAAGAGTGAATTTTTAAAGTGAGACTACCAGAGGCCTTCCCTCACAGCAGGTTTGTAATAAAACTTTGACAATGAAGTCCTAACTCAATAAAGATTTAATTAAAAAAAAAAAGAAAAAAAAAACAAAAAAAAACTTTGACAATGAAATAGTCCGAACTGAATTGTCTGAAGTGTTTGCTTTAATACTGGGGCCAACTATATGCCACCTCTGTTCCCTCAAAGAATGTTGACTTGCATGTGAAAGGCGGGAGCAACAAAATTCAAAGTAACACACAGCGCTGACTTACCAGTTGTTGGACATTCCTCAAACACATTGAGCAAGTCCTCTTCAAGATGAGGCTATTCAGAGTGCTGTTTATGGGAATGACTAAGCTTCAATACCTCATATAACTAAAACGAAAGGCTGAGAGACTTTGATTTTATTCTGCTGTTGGACTTTGATTTATTCAGGGACTGAAGAAGATATTTGGTTATACTGTAACCAGAAGCAAGGGGTCAAAGACATAGAAAGTATTAAATATTCTGAAGAAGGGCCAATGACATAGGAAGTCTCAAATGCTATATAGATAAGATGAATGGGATGAAGGTGGTGGCTGCAGAATGACTTTTCATGGAGATTCTGCCCAAACTTCCAATACTTTGCAAATGTTCCCAAAATGCTCCCAGCAAAATATGCGTCTGTTGAAAAAGCATTGTGTAAAGATGGCTTCTCATTGGATGCCCATCCTTCCTCTCAACCACCCTATTGCAGACAGAGGCATCAGGTCAGTGCTTACGCACCAATAATTTAGGACTTAATTTCAGGATTTAATATAAAAATTGACGCTTAGAAAAAATATGCAATTCTATTGATACCATATTATCTAACATTTAGGTTTTGTTTTGTGTTGTTTTGCCATCTTTTGTGTGTATGTGTGTTTTAAATATATTTTTATTGATTTCAGAGAGGAAGGAAGAGGGAGAGAGAGATAGAAACATCCATGGTGAGAGAGAATCATGGATCTGCTGCCTCCTGCAAGTCCCCCACTGGGGATTGAGCCCACAACCCGGGCATGTGCCCTTGATCAGAATCGAACCTGGGACCTTTCAGTTTGCAGGCGGACGCTCTATCAACTGAGCTAAACCGGCCAGGGCTGTTTTGCCATCATAAACAAAGTGCAGTGACTATCCTTGCACATCTATCTCTGCTCCTGTGTGTTCTCTCCTTACATCACCACTTTTAGATTTAATTTATTTTCCATGAAGTTTTCTCTACTGAGAAGAGAATGTGCCACAGGGACTTGACAGAATTATTGTTCAAATTGAATCATTACATTGATTTCTGAGTGTAAGTGATGTCTGTGAAAATGAAGATAAGAACAACCAGCTAGCCCAGGGTATGTCCACCCCTCCTGGTGTCAGCTGATGCTGAGGGCTCACCCCAGGGAGCAGATCAGGCTGACTTGGAATACAGAGCAGTTTCTATTACCTTGAAGCCTACGGGGCTCTCAGCCCTTGTCCATAGTTCTCCCTGTTGTCTGGGTTTACCCTCTGATAGGTTACTTGTCCATTATATCCTGTGGTCCTTCTTCTCTTTTTCCTTTTTTTCTGCTTGGAACATGGACATAATGGCTGGAGCTGCATCAGCCATACTGAGACTATGAAGGAATCTCAGAAATCTCAGCCCTGATTTCCTTGAGCTTTTGACATTCATAACTGGCTACTTCAGAAATTCTTATATGAGAAAATAAACCTGTATGCGTTTAAACCATTCAAATTGGGTGTTTGTTACCCAGAGCCATACACAATATTTTTAAAAATATATTTTTACGAGAGGCCCAGTGCACGAGATTTGTGCACTCAGAGGAGGGTCCCTCAGCCCGGCCTGCGCCCTCTCGCAGTCTAGGAGCCTTAGGGGGATGTCCGACTGACAGCTTAGGCCCACTCCCCGCAGTCAGACATCAGCGCTGCTGCTGGCGAGGAGGTGAGAGAGGCTCCCACCACCATTGCGAGCCCTGCTCAGGGCTCCTCCTCTGTGAGCGCACTGACCACCAGTTGTTCCACTGTTCGGTTGATTTGCATATTAGCCTTTTATTATGTAGGATTAATTTCAGAGAGGAAGGGAGAGGGAGAGAGAGATAGAAACATCAATGATGAGAGAAAATCATTGATCAGCTGCCTCCTGCACACCCCCTACTGGGGATCGAGCCCACAACTCAGGCATGTGCCCTGATAGTGAATCAAACCGTGACCTCCTGGTTCATAGGTTGACGCTCAACCACCGAGCCAAGCTGGCCAGCCATACACTATATTTATCTGATGTGAAAGGGTTCCCTGACAAGATGACATATAAGCTGAAACTGGAAGAATTATGAAGTGGCAGATATTAGACTAACAGGGAAAAACCAAAAGCCCTTTCCACTCCACTCCACTGCTCATTGCCCACCACATTCCAGGCAGTGGGACAAGGGACTGGAGATGTCAGGGAAGGAGATTCTAAGGTAGAACTGATTTGTCCAGAGTGATATTTGAAACTATGAGGAAGGGAGAGCTTGGTGATGTGCTCTCATCTCTGTGCGTATGTTTCCTTCATGGCACCTGTCAGCAACAGTCACCGTTACGCGATCTTCATGAGGCCAGGGGCAGTGTCTGTGATTTTCATCGCTAGCAGAATGCCTGGCACAGAATCATAGTTACTGGATAAACGATAGCAGAGAGAACTAGGGTAGGAGGAGGGATAAAAAAGAAACAGGTAGAAGAGTGGGAAACCTGGAGTGGGGCAGGGTCCCCATGATTCTCCTCCAAGGCAGACAGGGAGAATCCTGGTCAAGGGGTCACTTGGGGACCCACACTGGAGTGACTGTCCAGCTCTCAGCCTTGCTCTCCTGGCTTCCTGATGGGCATGAGATTTGAGCTGGTCATCCATGGCACCTTGCCCTTGGCTGAAACAACTGATCCAAAACATGGGTACATGACCCAGGTCAGGACAACTAGAACTAGAGCCCTTTGCCAGGAATTGCCAAACTGGAGTTGAGAAAAGGGACCGCTTGTCCTCCAGCTGTAATAGTGACTTCCTACAGCCTGGTCCAGGGTCCTGGGGATGGTAGCCTCTGGGAATGAGCCTGATGTCCAGTTAGAAGCAGGGAGAGAGCTAGAGAGAGAAGAGCTGGGGATCTTCAGGCTTCTGGCTCCAGCTCTCCCTAAGGTCAGCTCCACCCTGCTCTTCCCAGTTATATGAGCCAATGGTTACCTTTTGAGTTGCTTTGTTGCAGTTAGTGTTGAGTTCCTCTCTCTTGAAATCTACCCATTGCCTTTCTCTTCAAAATGCACCCTGAATCTGACCACTTCTCACCATTTTCACAGCCACACCCTGGTCCAAACCACCACTGTCTCTTGCCTGGCTGAATGCAACAGCCTCCCAATAGGTCTCCCTACTCCTCCCCACCCAGCAGGCCAGTGATTTTAGATAAATGTCAACCAGATCATGTCACTTCCCTGCCTAAACCCTCCGGTGGCTTCTCATTACATGCAAACGCCTTACCCTGTTTTACGAGGCCCTACAAAGGTCTGCCTCCGTCTACCCTCCAGCTTTATTCCATGCCACTTCCCCTCATCGCCCTGCTTCAGCCCAGTGCCCTCAGTGCCCTCCTTTTCGTTTCTCAAACTCATTGCGCCCAGTATCTCTTCAGTGCTTTTGCACCTGCTGTCCCAGGCCCTTGACCTTCAGTTTTTAGTATAGGAATACAGCAATCATAGCTCTCCTACCTCATCTCTTTCTATATCATTTTGTTGTTTAAATTATTCACAGAAACTTTCTCTAGCTGAAATTATTTTATTTATGTTTTTGCTAACTTTTTTGTTGTCTGTCTATCCCTCCCAGAGTGTGAGCTACAGGAGAATGGGGTCCTTGCCTGTCTTGTTTACCATGTCATCTGTGTAATAGGAACTCAAATAATATTTATTGAATGAATGAATGAATGAATGAGTTACAAAATAATGAGTTGCTGAAGTTCCAGGCAGGCCCCTATGTTCCCTGTTGGGTCTCCTTTACTCTGCACCATGCTGTTGTCCACAGTGTTAACCTGTGCTTAACTCCTAGAGCAGCGGTTCTCAACCTGTGGGTCGCGACCCCTTTGGCGGTCGAACGACCCTTTCACAGGGGTCGCCTAAGACCATCTGCATATCAGATATTTACATTACGATTCATAACAGTAGCAACATTACAGTTATGAAGTAGCAACGAAAATAATTATATGGTTGGGTCACAACATGAGGAACTGTATTTAAAGGACCAGAAGGTTGAGAACCACTGGTCTAGAGGAACTTGTTCCTGTCACTTGACCTCACTCAACTTCTACTGCCTCCTTTGTGAAATGGGGACCCTGCTCCTTGCCAAGCCAACTCCAAGGATTGTTGAAGATGCGAGGAGCCAGTGGGTGGAAAAGCCCAGAGCCCACCGATGATCAGAATGGAATGGGTCTGGCCTGCTTCCCTACCAAGCTCTCCTCACTCTGTGCTCTTTGACCTGACCTGCTTCCTCCGTTCTGTGCCACTCACACAGCCTCACTCACTTGCCTTGCCTTCCCCACCCCTTGCCCTCCAAAGGTCTTACTTTATAGCTCCTTGTGAGGAATTCCTATACAGCCCTGGCCTTCACTGTGAGAAAGAACAGGCTATCAAAGGCCGGGCTTGGCTCCCTGCTCTGTGGTTAAATATTGATAACACCAGGAGGCAGAGGCCGGAGAGAGCACACCACGTATCCCCCAGACCGGGGTCCTCTAAGCCCATTCCTCGGGGCTGGCAAGAGGGTCTGGATGTTTTCTCTTTACTTGAGGCCACCATATAAGAAAGTGAGCGCTGGGCTCCTGGTTCTTTAAGCAATTAAAACCGGGTGGAGCCTGTTTGCCACCCGAGGCCACTCATTCAAGAGGTCAGTCACCCCAGAGTAGCAGAGAAGACTCCAGGCCTGGGCGTGTGCTAAGAGCAGAGCTACCAGATGGGATGGGCTGCCACAGACTCTGCACTAATCCCAGGTGACAGCTGTGTGGAGAGCTCAAGTGCAAAGACCATCCTGTGCTTCGGTGAGAGGAGGAGGAGGAAGACACAGCAATCAGTGCTGCTCCCCAAAGCAGATCAAGGCCGGCCCCAGGAGCCTAGGACCCAGGGTGAGTGTCTCTAACCTGCCATGGGAATGAGTGACCAGGGTCTTCCGTAGGAGTCACAGGCCAGTGGCAGATGGTTAAGCTCTGTTTAAAATGCAGGAATCTCCCGGAGGGGCCCAAGGAGACAGGACAACTGAACGCAATGTGATATCCTGGGTGGGATCTGGGAACAGGAAAAGACATTCATAGAAAATAAAATCCAAATAAC